GACAAACAATAGACTTTTATCAACTGCTCAAAAAAACCTATTTTGAGCTTCATGAACTGTGGTGAACGTCTAATTAAGCTGGATCATTAGGTATCCCCTGATGAATTGGAATGAGGAACCTATAAAACTTTGAATGCGGGATGAGTAAGATAACCACCTTTAAATAAACACTGATCAATGGGACACTTATACATAGCTCTGCATTACATTTTAATCAGGAAATTCCCCATTATAATGGTGTTATAAAGGTTACTGTGGTACTTTATCAGATGACTTTGTTCTTATTATAAATTTATTGTATTCTTTATGCCAATGCCAATTTAGAAAGTATAAAAAAGTACTAGTTACATTAAGGACATTTCCAAATGTTTGAAGTGAATAAGCCCAGTCTATATAGGAAAGATAAATACATTTTAAAAAAAACTACCTTAAGCAGAGAGGGGCAGCAGTGACAAAAACACTGTGTGGACCCTGAATAATCTCTCATCTTTTTTTGTCCTCATGAAGGTAAAGTCCATGCAGCAAAATCCATGAGCATCTCCTGGTAGGTGAGAAATGGGTACTGATATGTGGGCAAATGATGATTGGTGTGTACTGTAGGCACAGCAATTCAGAGTTCTGGTCTCCACTAGCTCACAAAATTCAAGAAAATGTAACAATTGGCTCTTGTGAGCCAGCACAAACCAGCTTCAGCACACCACGGGATATTGGGACAAGGGTTTGCTACATCCCTCAGAGCAAAGTAATTTTTAAAAGTCTCTTTCTTGCACCTTCTTCAACTGTACCGTAAAATATTGTTTCAAGACCAGACAATAAATAAACTCTAATGTTACCTAAAATAGGCACAATACGTTTAAAAACCTACCCTACCTCACCTATAAAAAAAAAACCAGAAAAAAATTCTGCCCCCACCCCATGCATGATAAAATCCAACCTAATTTTTGTAATTTTCTTCTCTATTCTAGTCCCTCTAAAACAGCCCACTTCCCTCTTCATATAAAAGGTTTATGAAATTCCTTTAACGTGTTTTCTTTTGGCATAGAGATGGGTGTCATATTAGAAGCATCTCTCCATTCTTCACTTTCTATTGAAATTACCTCATGTAACGCTTGAGGAAAGCTCAGCGATCCCTTCCCAAAGTTGCATTTCAGAGATACATAAGACATCTGAAGCAAATAACAGCTGAGAAGAAACAACGTCAAGACCAGTTGAAGGTTGAAGGTAAAAATTTGCCATCACAAAAACACCCTTGCACACTGGCCAGTACTTGTTACAATTCCAAGGCAAATAGACCTGAGTATGCCTCAGAAGATCGTGGAAGTTCAAGGCAAAATATGGACTCACTGCACTTACGTTGCTAAAATTTCTAAATTCTGAAAAGTGTGGACTGAAAAAACTTTGGACTGAAATCTGACGCCATAGAAGAATATAAGAGATTGAATATAAGAAGGTTCCTTAAAGGGAAAGAAAATTCTTCTCTTAAATGCACATACAGCAACATTCTTCAAATTGGGAAACTCTTCTATTTGATCTAAAGTAGCTTGGGAGGATCTCTCACCAGCATGAGATGATCTTAGGGCATCACATTTCTCTCTTCTTTCGAAGACTTCAGATTTTGTTCCAGAAAGTGTTCAGAGATAGATATGTTGATTCCATTATGCAATGTTGATTAATCAATCTGTCTATTGTTGCAACCATGAATTACATGAGTAATTAAGTCCTCCGCTTCCTTCTGCATGCCAATTGAAACAAACAAATGTAATGGAGAAAGGTCCTTGGTATGTACTGGGATATCTCTAGACCTTTTCTAGAGAATTGCATCAGTCCATGCCACAAAACAGAGAACCTTTCCCAAAGGTTGCTCTGAAATTGGCCTCAATTACTTAAGGCCTGAGACTTGTACAAAATGAAACAAAGCTCTTGAAAATTCCAAATGGAATTGATGCAGATTTTAGAACCAGAGGACAAATTTCAGCTTCTAAACTTCTGAATATTTGCAGCTCCAGGATTTCTTGTGGCTCGATTCTACAAAAGATAAAATAATTTTAGTATTTGTTTTTTTTCTCGGCTAGGAGAAACTAGAAAATATATTTGCATTTAGATGAAACCGTGGAGAGGGATATATCCAAAGTGCAAACATTTTAAATGTCATGCCACTTCTTTCCATAAGTGAATTATGACCTGATCTACACACTGTAGCTCTGCTGAATGCAATAAAATAGAATGGGTACTAAATATGCATTGCATCTCAATCTAAAATGCTTTCTCCACTTTACTTCAGGTTTGCACTGATCACTAACCATAAAAATATGCTGTTGTTCTTAGCAGGTGTTGGACTAGAAGACCACCAAGGTCCCTTCTAACAATATTCTCTTAGACCATCTGTTACTACTAGGTTTCCGTCAGGATTTGCATTTCTGCTTTTTCCCTTATTTAGTAAACTTCTACCCAAGTTCACAAATGTACCTACTAGTACTAACTGCTGACCATAGAGTTATACGTTCAAGCAATAATTCACTCAATTCCCCCTCCCCCAATGTAACTACCTTGATCTTTGATACAGTAATTTTAAGATCCCTGCTCCTCACTCTTATCAGTTGGGCATTCACTGCAAATCATATGAGTTCCCAGTCAACAACATTGCTTTTATCCGCATACAAAGTATACACATATTCATATCTTCAACCAGTGGTGAAACTCAATTTTTTTTTTCTACTGGTTCTAGGTGGTGTGTGGCTTGGTGGATGTTGCAGGGGAAGGATACTGCAAAATCTACATTCCCACCCACTCTGGGGGCAGCCAGAGGTGATATTTGCTGGTTCTCCAAACTACTCAAAGTATCCGCTACT